GCACTCGGGAGGCAGAGCCAGGCGGATCTCTGTGAGTTCGAGGCCAGCCTGGGCTACCAAGTGAGCTCCAGGAAAGGCGCAAAACTACACAGAGAAACCCTGTCTCGAAAAAAACCAAAAAAAAAAAAAAGAAAGAAAAAGCTGGAAGACGGGAAAGATGGCTCGGACGTTAAGAACACTTGCTGCTCTCTCAGGACCTGAGTCCAGTTGCCAATACCCACGTCTGGCAGCTCACAACCACCTATAATTCAGATCCACAAGATCTGATACACTCTTCTGGTCTCTGCAGTCATCAGCTCTCATGGGGCACACACAAACTTAGACACACACATACATAGTTCTTTCAACAACAACACTGAAGATATGGGGGTGCTGTTCAGTAAAAGAATACTTGTCTAGCAAGCATGTATGTATAAAGATCTGAGTTTGATCCCCAGCACAGAAAAATTATTTTTCCACGGTAGTCTTATTTTTTTTTCAATTTTATTTCATTATTTTATGTGTATAAGTATTTGCCTGAATTTATCTGTGTACCATATACATTCCTGGTGACTCCAGAGGCCAGAAGGGGAGGTGGGATCCCATGAAACTGGAGTTACTGACAGTTTATGAGGGTGTTAGTCAAACCCAAGTCCTCTGGAAGAGAAGCCAGTCCTCTTCACTGCTAACTCATCTCCCAGCCCTTGATAGCAGTTCTAAAATCATTACTCAGGCTGGAGAGATGCTCCGTGGTTGAGGGCACCCACTGCTCTTGCAGAGAACCCAGTCTCAGTTCCTGGCACCCACACGGTGGCTACCACCATCTGTAACTCCAGTTCCAGAGGATCCTATGCATCTTCTGGCCTCCTTGGGCACCAGGCACACACATGGTATACAAACATATATATATGCAGGCAAACATACTTATACATATAAAAAATTAATCTAAAAAAATTAATTACTCAGGGCTGGAGAGATGGCTCAGGGGTTAGAGTACTGACTGCTCTTCCAGAGGATCCTGGTTCAATTCCTAACACACACACACACACACACACACACACACACATACACATACACACACACACACACGACAGCTCAAGGCTGTCTGTAATTCCTGTTCCAGGGGACCCAATACCCTCTTCCGACCTCTGAAGGTACCAGTCACACATGTGGCACACAGACATACATGACAAGCAAAACACTAACACATAAAATAAATATATCTAAAAGATACTTTAAAAATTACTCAAAGAAATGTTTAGCAGACAATAACCGAAACTTCATGAAAACAGTAAAAGTCGAAGAGGTTTCTATTACAACCGGGCAGCTGAGGCCAGGTGGGGAACTTTCCTATACTACAGAAACGGATACGGCAACACTTTTGCTGGATCGTGCCTCTGACAGGCCAAGGTTGTCTTCCCAGCTGGCATCAGAGAGAAACTGACTCTGAGATGCCTCGGTAAAGGCTGGCTGTAGGTACAAAATACAGACAAGAACGATTTTAACATGTGCTAAGAGAAGCATCAACACAAGCAGGAACCGGCCCCCACTTAATTCAGAGATTAATGAGAAAGCATCTGGGAAGTATTCTGAGCTCCCTGGAAAAGTGACACCAGGCAAATTGGAAGACTTGGGTTACAGTATAAAGGGATAACAAGATAACATGCCGCTTTCTTGTTGGGCTGTATTAAGACAGGTGTCTTAAGTTCTGGCTGAAGATTAGCATAAAACTCTTTTTCTTCCTCATAAATCAGGTTCCTGCTTGTGCTTATAGCCCATTGAAAGAATGAAAGAGTTACTAATCCCGGGAAAGGGGGAAGTACAAAGCTGCCTGCCAGAGCACACAGAGAGGGAATGGCCCGGGACCAAAACCCTAGGCTCCCATTACCTTGCTCAGAAGGACGGGGACAGAGCAGCCCAGGCTGGAAGAGGCGTAAATAAACATTAGCAAACAGGAATTCCAGCTGTCAGACCTATGAGGACAGGCAGCGGACCCCTCAGCCTACTGTTCCTTGTGCAGAGGCCAGAAAGCGGTCTTCCTTTAATAAAAACGTGCTAGCCAACAGGTCAGCTCTTCCCTCCGAGAGTCTTCTACACAGTTTTAAAATGTATTCCCCTTCACCATCTACAATCATGTTCACAAATGTCTGAAGCCCAGAACTTACAGACAGCTGTGAGAAAAGACCTTCATGTTTAAGTAGGTGAATTTGGAAATCTCGTTTACCAGAGAGGGCCCAAAGCTGTCATTTCAAGTGACAAACAGAAGGATCGAAGCCTTTTAGATGAAAGCAGGATATGGTCAGTTTTTTGTTTGCTTTGGTTTTCGATACAGTCTCATCTTGTAACTCTGTCTGGCTTGGAACTTGCTGTGTAGACCAGGCTGACTCGGGAACTGCCTGCCTCTGCCTCTCCCGAGGCGTGTACCAACCACTACAGCTGGCGTATATGGACCACTTTATAATCTGCACGGAGAAAGCTCAACTGACAAGTAGTTCTCTAGCAAAATTATCATTAACCTTCCGGAGAGTACGTGGGGCATTAATTAGTGAGTCAAACACAATAGTGGGGCCACTGAGATACTCATCTGACCTAGAGGAAGGAATCACTGTTCACAAATTGGCGTTTTCCAAATGAAAAGCTTTGGTAGGGAGCCAATTTCTCCAGCTCCAGAAAGGGGGAAAGTGGTTCCTTATCGAGACAAAGCCAAATATCCCAAGTCATGCGATTCACCCCATTTGCAGAAGTAGAGATGTGATAGGGTCGGAATTTTAGAACGGATTAGCTGATTCAGTTCAAAGATCTTAAACCCGCCCTCAGTGATTCAATAACTTTGTCTCCCTCCCAAAGTCCTGTAACTATCAAAGAAAGAAAAAAAGGATAAAGCGGACTGGCTGAAACACTGCTTGTACAGAAAGTCCTAAAGTCACACAACATATGTTTCATCTTCCGAATCTGGGGAGCCACCGACCTCCGGTCCTACCATGCAGTCCGAGTTCGTGCTCCCGACGCCGGGCAGGAAGCTATCCCAAATTCCGCGCTTGTCACAAGCCGGGCTGTGGAGCCTCACCCGGGGCCCCACCGCGAGCTAAGGTCGGGAAAGTTCCTAACGTGCCGGCATCTGGCTGCGGCGGGGTGGGTGGCTCGCTGCCCACTGGTGGGGAGAAAGCGGATCCTCGCGGCCGCCCAGCCCGCGGTGCGCGCCTCCCGCCCACAGCCCGCGCCCGCCCCGCGCGGCCGCGGCCCTCCGACCCACCCGGAGGCCTCTGCGCGGGGCTGTGCAGAGCCGACAAGTTCAGCGCCGCCGCCTTCTCCCGAACCGTGGCCATGACCGCGGCGGGACAGACACCCCCGTCCACGCCGCCGCCGCTGCTGCCGCTCCGAAAACTGCGCGCCCGCGCCGGAGCCCCGGGTTAACTGGCCCGGCGGGGGGGCGGGGCTCCAGGGCTCCGCCCCCTGAGGGTCACGTGCCCCCGGCCAGCTCCAAGGCTGCGGTCTCTGAGCTCCAGAACGCCGCAGGCCACTCAAGGTGGACCGTGCCCAGGTAAAAAGTACTTCTTGGGGCGCGGCCTTTCGAGTGCTCCTCGGCACTAGCCCGAGGCTAGACCCGCTGGGTCGAAACGTGTCCCTCGGGGGTCTACCCTCGCCCCAGACCGAGCCTCCCTGCGCCAGGACTCAGTGCCCTCACCTGCGAGTATTACGACCAGGTTGGCTGGGCTTTTTAATGAGGATTACCTGAACCGACGTTCAGTTTAGGATTTGAACCATAAATGCTTCCAAGTGTGTCACGATAATAAATGCTTGGAGTTTTTTCCATAAATCCCGGCCCTCTAAAGAGCAAACAAAGCCTTATCTGGCTCAGGAGAGCAATGTCTAGAGGTCAGAGGACCGCAGCAACCAAAGATCATGGGGCTGCCTGCCAAGGAAATCTGTGTTGATTCTAAATTAACCCTGGGTCTGGTGAGCATGGGGCATGCTGCAGGAAGAGGAGAGTGGGAGAGCAGGCTGCAGGGGGAGGTGGAGGGAGAGGGTTGTTGCTGGAAGCACCTCGGGTAGTTGAGGCAGGGAGACGGGGGTGGGGGGGGCGGCAATGCTGGGGTAAGTTTGCAAGGTTGAACGATGTAGGAGATCATTAACCCAATTGATGGATGCAAGTCCCTCCCCCCTTTTTTTCTTTTCCTTTCTTCCTTTGAAGAAAGACAGGGTCTCACTATATACCCTTAGCTGCTGGCCTTGAATTTGCTCTGTAGACCACTTGAGAATTTCTGGCTGCCTCTGTCTCCTGAGTGCTGGGAATAAAGGCATGCGCTCGCTCGCATTGATCGCCCTTTCTCTAGCGCCCTACCCCTTTGGGGCACTGGAGAGATGACTCAGCAGGTAAGAGCTCTTGCTGCACTAACATAGGACCAGAGTTCGGTTCCCAGGACCCACGTACCTGCTCACAGCCACCTGTCCGTAACTCCAGCTCCAGGGTTTCTGATGCCATCTTCTGGCCTCTGCAGACACCGGAATTCAAGTCTTCATGGCTATGGTTGCACAACTTCAGCTAACTACTGAGTCATCCTGGGAAAACAAATCTTGGCAAATACTAACATTGGATCTTTTGGAAAAGGCAGGATAGCCTAGTGACGATTTTGATATATTTTGTCATTCAGAGACATTTTTTCCCCCACGAGTTTGTGCTACCTTGTCTCTCCTATGTAGAATACTGGCATTTTCTATCTACAATGAATGTACCCAGGGAAGCCTAACCCCCTTCCCACCTTCACTGCACAGATTTTCCCTCTATTTATAGCACTTATTAAATGTATTTGTAGCCCTTATTAAATGCATCATTATTCAGCCTCCATTTGTTATTTTGTTGTGAGGTAGGGTTTTGCTTTATAACCTGCGGTAACTTGGCACTCACCATGTGTGTAGCTCAAGCTAGCTTCAAACTTATGGCAGCTCTCCTGCCTCAGCCTCCCAAGTGCTAGGATTACAGGCACATTCCACCCAGGGCTGGCTTGAACAGTGTTTTTATTCCTTGTACAGAATGCTTTAAGATCACTTTCATCATTAGCTATTTCTCAAGCCGGTCAGTTATGTCTAACCTATGGGAAGAACTTCACTTGCTATAAACTGGTCTAAGAACAAACTTGTCTGAACCAGTCAAGACGCAGAAAACAGAACAGAAAGTTTATGATTCATTAATCTATTCTGTTCTGGCATGAATAAAAAAAAAAAAACTCTTGTGGGGAAGGGACTGGGAGGAGAGGAAGGAAGGGAAACTGTGGTTGGGATATAATCAAAATAAATAAGCCAAAAAATGAAAGAGGGGGAGAGAGGGAGAGGGAGGGAGGGAGGGAGGGAGGGAGAGAGAGAGAGAGAGAGAGAGAGAGAGAGAGAGAGAGAGAGAATCTTATGTTATTTCCAGCAATGTAAAACAGTGATGGTGTGGGGAGGGGGAATTCTTTTGTAGTTTTATTTTTGCAGAGCCAGGGCTCCAACCCTGGGATGCATATGCCGACAATTACTGTACCACTGAGCCACACCTCTAGCCTCAGGCAGGTTTTATTATAATTTCTTTTTCAACATAAAGATTTTCTGGTTTTTATTTTACTTTATTTTTTTCTGAGACAGGGTTTCTCTGTTCAACAGATCTAGCTGTCCTGGAACTCCCTTTGTAGATCAGGCAGCCTCAAACTCCCAGAGATCTGTATGCCTCTGCCTCCCTAGTGCTGGGATTAGTAAGTACCACTAACACTTGGCTACTTTTTTTGCTTATTTTAGACAGGGTCTCATAATGCAGCTCTGGTTGGCTTGGAAATTTTATGTAGACCAGGTTAGCCTCCAACTCACAGGGCTCTGCCTGCCTCTGTCTCTTGAGAGTGCTGGGATTAAAGGGCATGTGTAGGTTGGCCTTGAATTTCTGGGCTTAAGCAATCCTCCTGCCTCAGTTTCCTGCCTAGCGGGGACTACAGGTGATTGCTACCTTGAGCACTCCTCCATAGCCTCTTGAGCACTTGGTAGACTCTGCAGTAGGTCCTGGCTCCTGCCTTGATTCCTCTTGGGCGATGGGCTGGAAGATAAAATAACTCAAGTTGCTTTAGTTCACAGTGCTTTATCACATCAATAGACACCCCAACTAAGACAAGCACCTTTTTTTTTTCTTTTAAGACAGACTACTATTCCATTATATCACATTTTCTGTTCATCCCTATGCTTCATCGCAGATCTCCCCCACCTCCCCATCCACCCAACTTTGTGTAAGCTTGAATGCATGCTCTTGTGGGTGCACTTGCTCTGTCTGTCTCTTCAACTCCTCACACCCAGTTTGGATTGACACAGGGTCTGCCTTGGAGTGTGGTTCCCATACCAGGGGTCATTCCTCTAAAGAAAACTGACTCTCTCCCAGAAGCTATCAAAAGCCAACAGCTTCTCAGCTGGAGATGGGACTTTGTGCCCACCTCCCCTCCTCCATGCTGGGATTTTTGTTGGCTTGAGTGTGGGTAGGTTTTACATGTGTTGTCACAATCACTGTCACTTCATATGTACATCTGCCTGTTGTGTCTGGGAAATGCTTTTCTGGGGAGGGTTATTTGTTTTCTGTCATCTAGGTGTCATGTTTTCCTTATCCATTCATCTATTATTAGTGGGCATTCTAGCTGTTTCTACAGCTTTTTGTTTGTTTGGTGAGACAGGGTTTCTCTGTGTAGCCCTGGCTGTCCTGGAACTCACTCTGTAGATCAGGCTGGCCTCAAACTCAGAGATCCGCCTGCCTCTGCCTCCAGAGTGCTTGGATCAAGGGCGTGAGCCACCACTGCTTTTTTGTTTGTTTGTTTTTGTTTTTGGAGCTGAGGATCAAACCTAGGGCCTTGCACTTGCTAGGCAAGCACTCTACCACTGAGCTAAATCCCCAACTGCTTGGCTGTTTCCACTTCTTGATGCTTGTGAATAATGCTCCACTGAACATGGATGTGCAAATATCTCTTAAAGATTCCATTTTCAGAGCTGGAGAAAGAGTTCAGTGATCGAACATTTGCTTTGAGGGGCTGGCTCAGAGGTTAAGAGCACCAGCTGCTCTCCCAGAGGTCCTGAATTCAATTCCCAGCAACCACATGGTGGCTCATGACCACCTATAATGAGATCTGGTCCTCTCTTCTGGCGTGCAGGTGTACATGCAGGCAGAACACTGTATACATAATAAATAAATAAATTTTAAAGATTCATTTATTATGTACACAGAAGAGGGCACCAGATCTCATTACAGATGGTTGTGAGCCACCATGTGGGTGCTGGGAATTGAACTCAGGACCTCTGGAAGAACAGTTGGTGCTCTTAACCTCTGAGCCATCTCACCAGCCCAGTATAGATAAATTAAAAAAAAAAAACAAACTTGCATATATAAGACCAAGTTTCATACCCAGCACCTCAAATACACACACTCAAAGAGATCCTTTCTTCAGATCATTGGTTATATACCCAGAAGTGAGATGCCTGTATCATAGTGTAATTTTGTTTAGTTTTTTTGAGGAACTTCTCTTTTTTTTCAGTAATGGTCATGCCATTTTACATTTCCACCAGCAATGTACTGGAGTTCAGACTTTTCTGACTGAAAAATCACTGACATTTTAAATTTTGCATGTCTTTAATGATTTAGTGGTCCTGAGAATCTTTTCATTTCCTCCCAGTGATGAAGCTGGAATTCAGAGCGTTGTACAAGTGAAGCAAGAGATTAAGCCACCAACAGATTACCTTGTTGCATTACAATAAAACCCTTTTTGTCTTTGCAAGTGCTCACTACTGACTTTTATATTCCCAACTCCTGACAAAACTTTAAGATTAGCCAGGAATTAGCTCATGCCTTTAATCCCAGCACTTGGGAGGCTGAAGCAGGCAAATCTCTTTGAGTTAGGTCTACATAGTGAGTTCCAGGCCAGCCAGAGCTACACAGTGAAACCCTGTCTCAAAAATCCAAACCAAAACAAATAAAAAACCCCTTTTAGGGTTGATGATATAGCTCAGTTGGCAGAATGTTTGGCATAGACTAGGTTGTGATGGCATACTTTTAAAAAGGAAGAAACCATTCGGAGATTCTGAACTTGAAAAGTACAATACCAAGCCATGAGTGGTGGAGCACACCTTTAATCTCAGCACTTGAGAGCTAGCATAGCCTACAGAGTAAGCTTCTGGACAGCCAGGGCTACACAGAGAAACCCTGTTTGGGAAAAAAAAGATTATTTTAAGTGTTTTTCACAGTGTGTGTGTGTGTGTGTGTGTGTGTGTGTGTGTGTGTGTGTGTGTGTATGTGTGTGTACACATACAGGCACAAGTCACAGTGCACACGTGGAAGTCAGAGGACAGCTTCTGAGAGATCCTTACACTATGTAGGTCCCAGGAATGGAATTCAAGTCATCAGCCTTGGCAGCAGGCGCCTTTACCTGCTGAGGCATCTTGC